TTTGTAATTTCCACTTTGAAATTTCCCTTACGAAAAATGTATCAACCCCTACAAACATTTCCATTAATTATAATCCACATAATAATAATAAATGTTCCTGTTGCTGCAGGATTCTTTTCTTGCTGTAGGAAACTGGATCAAATAAAGATCCTACATCTGTATAAGTAGAATGATGAGGAAGGAAGGGAGGCACAACATACCATGTTACTGTGACCAAAATGTTGTTTCAAGTTGAGTGGCAGTGAGACAAATCCCTGTGACAAGATTAGGGATTTAAATGACCATCAAAGGCAGCAACCAACTGGTTGATAAACATGAGGAGGTACAGGATGTGATGTGCCCACCAACGCACTGGCAGATGAATGACTGAGACTAATCAACTTCATCAACACTACATTATGGTCAATGAAGCAAACGCTACTGCAACAACAGCTATAGGTCTCTCTTCTCTTTTACAGAACAGAGTAAGCCTTTCTCATCCCATGACCTTTGGCTGATGCATCCCCACAACCATGACCTTTGGCTGATGCATCCCCACAACCATGACCTTTGACTGATGCATCGCCACAACCATGACCTTTGGCTGATGCATCCCCACAACCCTGACCTTTGGCTGATGCATCCCCACAACCCTGACCTTTGGCTGATGCATCGCCACAACCATGACCTTTGGCTGATGCATCCCCACAACCATGACCTTTGACTGACATTGACTGGTTCACAATGTCACTAATGTGTAGACTACTAATGTGTCTAAGTATGATGGTACAATAGTATGTATGTACAATAGTCCCTAATACACCCTAAGTAGACATTTCTCTTAACCCCCTAGGTTATGACGTTTTTGCATATGATCTACGAACCTAGCTAACATATATATGTTACTGTCATCTATGGTATTATGGATAATTAGTAGTCTAAACCGGAGGAGGAACGGTTAGACTGCTCTGTGAATGGGTGCATATCGCCATCTAGTGGACACCGTGTGTATTGCTTGCGCCGTTATTATGTCTCGTTAGTGTGTCTGGAGCTGTGATAGCTCGGCTATCCATCAAGCTGAATTTCCGACTGTGTGCTTAACATTAAATATACAATGTGAACATGAACCATAATTGTTGCACAACTCCAAGGAACTTCTTAGATTATCTTTCAAAAGTCGTCATTATAATGGCATAAAAGAAATATGATGAACAGAATAATGGCGTTCAATAAATGTGAAAAACAGAACGTAACCACAAGTATTTTAACTAATTATTGTTGGTATTATGTTTAATCACTCTATTATGATGAGGATTTTCCTAAGGGAACAGGGATTGCAAGGAGAGGGCTGGAGAAACATGCTCTCCTTTCCATATCACACCTTGGTGAGACTGGGTTAGTGAGTGACTAAACAAAGGAACCACACCCTCTCTTCATTTCCCAAATAGAATCAAGCGCTTAGTAACACTAGTCTGCCCATTAACCCTAACATGACCTGCGGGTTATAGCTACCAGAACTGGGATAACTATAATTTTAACTGTGCTTTGTGGAAAGTAACTATTTCTGGGGGGAATAAATAGTAACGTTGGAGGTGACTACAACTATTGGAATACAGATCCCCCAAAAAATGACTACTTTTTAAAAACGATTTGAATACAGATCTCAGGAAGTGACTCTGATTCAGAGGGGTTGGGTTAAATGCGGAAGACACGTTTTAGTTGAATGCATTCAGCTGTGCAACTGACTAGGTATGCCCCTTACCCTTTCCTTAGTATTGGTTTGGCTGCCTTCAACTAATGGCTGGGTTGAATCTGGAAATGCATGTTGAATATAGAAATAGAATGAATAGAACACTTAACATTAAACTATGCTTGTGTAATAAAACTGTAATTACTTTTGGAGCGACATTTTATTAGCATTTTGTTACATAATACTTTGGTAATTGCATTTTAATTGCATAGCAATGAGCTGAGAGTTTTTGTAACTACTGTACATGAGGAAAATTGACTATTTCTTACTCAACTTATGTAATAAAACCATTATTATGCAATTATAAAGCAATTTATAAAGTCCTATGTAACAATGTTGCTATTGTAATAATCACAAAGTTACTACACGTGTAAGAACTTGATGTAAAGTGTTACTGTATTACCTTATGTCACTAATTACATAAATATATTTGTTAGAAGCTGCAAAAGTGGTCCACTCTAACGTTGAGGTGATACCATGTCCCTCATGCATTTAATTCTAGGCTATAGGCTATATTCATATTCATATCTAAGAGCCCTCCAAACCATGTACTTATGACCATATATTTAGACTAGTTCAACTAACTGCTGTAGTTTTTGGTTCTTTATCAAATATTTGGCAGCCATCAAATATTTTTTTGTTTTGTTTTCAAATAACTTGCATATATTGAAATACCTTCAAATATTATTTGGTTTTCTGAGACCAGTATTTTAATATCAAAGAAAATAGTTACCTTTTAGTTGAAACTCTATAAAAAAAAAAAAGTCAAACTATATATACATTTTAGTCATTTAGCAGACGCTCTTATCCAGAGCGACTTACAGTTAGTGATTAGATATTTTTTTTATACTGGCCCCCCGTGGGAATCGAACCCACAACCCTGGCGTTGCAAACGCCATGCTCTATCAACTGAGCTACATCCCTGCCGGCCATTCCCTCCCCTACCCTAGACGACGCTGGGCCAATTGTGCGCCGCCCATGAGTCTCCCGGTCGCGGCCGGCTGCGACAGAGCCTGGATTCGAACCAGGATCTCTAGTGGCACAGTTAGCACTGCGATGCAGTGCCTTAGACCACTGCGCCACTCAGGATATATGACTACCTCCTGTATTTGAAAAGTTGTTATTTTCAAATCAACTACAAAATACAACTATTTTCTGTCCAGGTCTGATAGGTAGATTAGTTAGGGTGTAGACACACTAAAACCTTCATCCGTTGATAATTACGTTAGTCTGTTACCTTTCTGAGGCTCTATGGCAACCTATCCCTGGGCTCTGTCTCAGAGAGTATAATCCCTCTCTCTCTCTCTCTCTCGCTCTCTCAGTTCAGCAGTTAATAGCCAACCCACATAATTAGTCTGCTCTGTGCAGACACCTGACACTTCTTTGTTGACAGATACCGGTGCACACTTCTTGCTAGAAAAAAAAGCAGGGGAACCTGTTTGGCTGAAAGGAGCATATAGTTGGGAAGCCAGAACAAGCACATTGAATAGTTTACTGAATACTAATTAATGTTCAACTGCACTGTTACTTTTTCAGGTGTTCTGTGTTGGCGTTCAATCAATGGGCCTGTAATAATAAGCATTGCTGATATAGGATAAATGACTTCATTTCCAATGCTTATTTGATTGTTAAGTGGTCCTGGATCCTGTAGGCAAAGAGGAATATTATAGTGTTCATACTGTAGCAAAATGATTAGATCCTACATGCTGTGGATCGAACTATTAGACCTCAATTCATAGTCTCCCGAGTGGCGCAGTGGTCTAAGGCACTGCATTGCAGTGCTAGCTGTGCCACTAGAGATCCTGGTTCGAATCCAGGCTCTGTCGTAGCCGGCTGTGACCGGGAGACCCATGGGGCGGCGCGCAATTGGCCCAGCGTCGTCCACGGTAGGGGAGGGAATGGCCGGCAGGGATGTAGCTCAGTTGATAGAGCATGGCGTTTGCAATGCCAGGGTTGTGGGTTCGATTCCCACAGGGGGTAGGAAAATAAATAAATAATGTAAGTCGCTCTGGATAAGAGCGTCTGCTAAATGACTAACAATGTAAATGTAATAAAACACAGAACGTACACACACACACACAGAAGTGACCCAAAAGTGAAACCCCACTCCTCACGGTTAGTCATCTCTCAGCCTTCCCATACGTCACTTAGTATGACTCCCAGGCCATGACCAATAGGGAACAGAATATACAGTATACTATATCAAAATGTCAAGATTGAGGTTCCCAAGTTCAAAGTTCACAATTTGTAAAGCTACTTATAATTTACGAATGTCTTAATTAATATCACATTCGTCTGTAAAACTAACTGTCTTAAAACTGAAGCACGATGGCAGTTTGATCGGGTGTGTCACATTCCTTCCAGAGCAAGTGCCAAATACGCCTACGGTCACGGGACAGGAAAAATTGTATTCACATCATGTAGCAGATAGCCTCAAGCAAACCCATATTACTGTGTGGCCATCAACTGCGTGTCTCTGCACAATGGTGTTAGGCAAGAATGGGCCTATTGAAGGGAGCATGGGGATTCTGGGTGTGGCAGAAAAGTAAATGTTTACTCCTTCAACGGCTGCCATTGTTTTGGTGAGACTTTAGCTTGGATCTTAATCTCTCTGTTATCATTTAAGGTCCTACGGTTCTTAGGGAGTATTGAAGTAAAACATCTCAATCCCTGACCCTGGCCTTAACTATGAGAGCTTCAGCAACAATACCTCTTCATCTCTCCACTGTAATGGCTGGCACAAAATATAAAATATTTATTGAAATTAGTGACAGGCAACAGAAATATGAAATGTAGTCAACGTCTTAAAATGTAAAGTATACAACAACAAAACATCCTAGCCTTTTGAAATACCTTGATGCATCACAAACAGTGGTCTTCAGCAGCAGTCTACATGGCCTGCAGCGTCATCAGCAACCCGTAGTGTCATTAACTGGAGGTTAAAAACACCCACAAGTGTAAACAACTGTATAAAAATGTAATCTCTTCTCTGGTGCCTTCATAGACAGAGGTCCTCAGTAACAGGTTATTTAGCAGCCTGCAGCATCATAGACTTAGTCATCAGCAGCTTTGGTCACAAATCTACATAAAACTACCATTAAAAAGACTAACAAATACATATTTACATAAGTGAGAGTCCTCTCAGGTGCCAGCCTCTCGGCTGATGATGAAGACCCTGGGTGCCAGTCTCTCAGCTGATGAAAAAGACCCTTGGTGCCAGCCTCTCGGCTGATGATGAAGACCCTGGGTGCCAGCCTCTCGGCTGATGATAAAGACCCTTGGTGCCAGTCTCTCAGCTGATGATAAAGACCCTGGGTGCCAGTCTCTCAGCTGATGATAAAGACCCTGGGTGCGTCTTCTCTCATGGGAGGCAGGCTCTCCATGTTCTCAATGAGGATGTGTTTGTCCTCCCGTTTCACCTCCAGCGGCTGACACATTCTGCTGGCCAGGCCCTCCAGGGTGACGTGGATGTCTTTGAACAGGTGCAGCATGGCTACCCCCAGGATGATGACCAGGAAGGCCCCCACGGTGCCCACCACGTCCACCCCAGACATGGTCCCCCACTCTTTAAACAGGACGATGGAGGTGGTGAGCACCACGGTGGTGAAGCACACGTAGTAGATGGGATAGACCAGCAGCGTGTTGAATGTGTCCAGGGACTTGTTCAGGTAGTTGACCTGGATGACGATGGAACTGACCAGGGAGGCCAGCAGGATCCAGGTGAGCGGGTGGCGCACCACGGCCGGGTCAGAGAACACTGTGCGGATGGCGATGCCCAGGCCCTTGACGGAGGAGACGGTGAAGGCTCCCAGCAGGGAACAGATGCCGATGTAGATCAGGATGTTGGTCTGACCCACACGGGGGGAGAAGTAGAAGATGAGCAGCAGGCAGGCCAACAGCAGGATACTGGCAAACACAAGGAAGCCTAGAGATACAAAGCGGATACACAGGAGCCATTAAAATTAGTCTTGGCACAGAGAGAGAGAAGCATTTCTCTAGGGTGTGGTGGATGGTGATTAGAGAACAGACAGGTGTTATTCCCAGGTGCAGAAGTACATTCTGTCCTTCTGTCTACATATTTGCTCAATAACGACGTTAGCATTTTGTTATCTTTGAAGTTCTCTACTCTAAATGACATGTTCATTACCTCATTGTTGGGCTACCCTTAATAAAATAATTGCTGTGTGAATAATTCCTATGTCAATGAATAGAAATAATGTACCTGGGTCAAGCAGTTTGTCAGTCATCTGCTTTAGGGTAGTGACTTCCTCTTCTTCAGGTGCGTGGATCACCATGAGAGTGCTGCCCAGTATGCTGAGCACACAGCCCAGCTTCCCCAACAGATTCAGTGTCTCCCCCAATAGGTAGGAGGACAGCACTGCACTGTGTCCAGAGAGAAGCCACAATTACAGTCATTTGAAAATTAATGCAAACCTGTTGAACAATGACTTGCTGTGAGGATACATTTACACAAAAGACACACAACAGCTCCTGAAAGTTCTAATAGGTTTCCACGTTACTGTACACTAAAATAAGGGTACAAAATTATAACAATGGTGTGAGATTTTCCACAGTCATGGAAAATTAAGAACCAGAGAGAACGGAAGTGCATGTATGTGAAAGCTAGCTGTGTGTTAATAGAGAACAGAGAGGTAATGGTACCTGATAAGGACGCTCAGCGCACCAAGAGGAGTCACCACAGTAGCCGGGGCGAACATGTACGCTACAAAGTTGGCAACCTCACCGGCACCCACTGTGGGAAGCAGGAAATGAATAAATACATGTATGTAGTCCTAATCCCTTTTGTTCTCTGGGGAGTAGAGGTTACGTTTGACAAAAACCAAATTAAAAACTGTGTAGAAATGATAATGGACCTACATTCATACAGTTTCTTGACTGTCCAGCTCGCTAATGAATACTAAACAGTCAGAGATCATCAAAAATTCCAAAAACAATGGCTAGAGGAATTGTATTTACTAATTTTGACAGCAAGGAAATCCCAAAAAAAATTCTGAACCTCAGTGAAGACCGAATGCAGCCTCACGGACCTCAGTAAGGACCGAATGCGACCCCCGGGGCAAAATGAGGTTCAACACCCCTGGGTTAAGCCGTATAGTTCTACTAGCTACCCGACAGAACTATGATAAAACTATTCATTTTCCCACATTACATTATAGTGCTTGTGGCGAACATTGAGGATATATTTGACAAAATAAACTCACTGGTTAGAAGGCCACTCCACCATAGCCATTCCTTTAAATATCCATGACCACCTTCACCTGCACAAAACACAGCAGACCAGGCTTTCGTTAGAATAGAAGACAAACAAATCAATAACATCAATCAATGACAAATTAAAGTTGATTGATTGCTCGACACCCTCCTGTAGAAGGCAATAAAGTTGTTTCTTGTCCTCAGGAAACCTTGATGCCAGTACAGCTTGTTTAATCGAACGTTATATATAACTGACACGAGAGCGAGCCCTTTATTAGACTGCGTTTCACTGATACTACAACAACCTTTGATGTACTGTTCTCTTTCGATATGCTGAAATATCATACCGTTAGGTCATAGTCAAATCAAATCCAAGTTTCTTGGTCGCCTACACAGTTTTACAGATGTTATCGCAGGTGCAACGAAATGACTATGTTTCTAGCTCCAACAATGCAGGAATATCTAGCAATACAATAACGATGCACACATCATCTAAAAGTTTAAAAAAGAACAAGAAATTAAAAGACATATCAGAATGAGCAATATCAGAGTCTGGAATATAAATAAATATATATGAATGTGAACGGTGTGTATAGACAGTATGGATAGTATCTGAATAGAAAAGGTGTGTATAGCAGTAGATATATATAGGATGAGCCATAATTAGAATACAGTATATACACTGAGTGCACAAAACATTATGAACACCTGCTCTTTTCATGACAGACTGCAACTCAATATTAGGAAGGTGTTCTTAATGTTTTGTACACTCAATGTACATATTAAGTGGGGGAAAACAGTATGTAAACATTATTAAAGTGACCAGTGTTCAATTACTCTATGTAAATAGGGCAGCAGTCTCTAAGGTGCAGGGTAGAGTACTGGGTGGTAGCCAGCTAGTGACAGTGTCTGAGGTTCAGGGCAGGGTACTGGGCGGAGGCCGGCTTGTGATTACTTTAAAAAAACGACTGTCAGTTGATACCCATCAAAACTTGATTCTACGTAAACTTTGATCAGAATAAGGACAAAGCCCTCCTGTGGTGCAACGTGATGTCTTTCTGTTTTTCCACATCCTTAAAACAGTGTTTCCTGACTGAGAAGACCCCCACCTGCTCTGGTCTGGCCATTATTGGCTAGGCGAAGCAGGGCCTTCTTCTTCAGCATCACACTTCCTCCAATCAGGAAGGCCGACAGCACCGCCAAAGTCAAACCAATCCAGAAGTTATAGCTGCTCCAGTTGTCGCCGACGTCTGATAGGCCTGTCCCAGTGGCATTGTTATTGTCAGTGAAGGAGGTGTTGAGGAGGCCTGCATCCACATTGACTATACACACAGCAGTCTGAGATGGACACAGTAGCCTTATTGTGGAACCTGAAAAAAACAAGCAGAGTGGAATAACTTTTAACATTATAGCTTTTTTATAAAACTGTGTGGTTGGAGCCCTGAATGCTGATTGGCTGACAGCCGTGGTATATCAGACCGTATACCACGGGTGTGACAAAACATTTATTTTTACTGCTCTAATTACATTGGTAACCAGTCTATAATAGCAATAAGGTACCTCGAGGGTTTGTAGTATATGGCCAATATACCACGGCTAAGGGCTGTATCCAGGCACTCCGCGTCGCCACACCTACACTTCACCTGCTGGGGCCTTATAGCTTTATGAAAGCTATTATGATCTTATTGTGTGATTACCATGTTATTTCTAAGTAAATAACTGGACATTTATGTACAATAAAGTATGGCGCTATCAGAATATCTGGTGAAAAGAAACCAATCCAAAACACACAGAGGTAATGGGCTACATAGCAGATTGCTTTACCAGGTCATGTGATTACTGATTGTTGTTACGTCACAATAGTAATATCCATGGCAATTATCAGAATGATACCAGTGTATTCATGTTGTCTGTTATCAACACTAGCCTGTCTACACAAAGCCCAATTAAAGATTGTAATGGTCAAATAAAATTTGGATTTCATTGGGACAAAAAATTAAGAAGATAGCCTACTTTAGAAATCCGTGTGACATTTCATGTTAGTGAGACTGACAGTTTCTGTAATTCAATACATGACCTCACCATTTGAACAATATCCTCCCACACTGGCATGTTGCAATGACATGTTTTCTCTGTCAACAAAGGTGTTCTATTCACACACAGCTGCGATTACTATTCTCATGAGTTTAGAAATCATCAATTATATGGTCATTTCAAGTGGAATGACCTGAAAAACAAACGGGCATATTAAAGTAGTTCAAAGACATGAACAGCCCCACTTGACATTCTAAAATATTCTCAAACAACTGCTTTTAAAATCATTAATTTAGCTGGCTTTGTCCCAAAATGTGTTCTGCTCCAGATGAAGACGTTTAGAAAATCATTTCTGACAATAACCTTTTTGTTTTTGGCTATTAAGTATATTCAGGGATGCCAACCCAACTGTTATTCTGGTCTGCAAACTCTGCCAATAACGCCCTTCATAAATAAGCCTACTGTTGCTAAATCACAAACATTCAAAAATATTGCAGGCCTCCATTTCCCATTAAGTAGCGTAGCCTACAGTAATATGATGATATTGAAGTATTAGCCTATACATTTACCGTTTCGGCATGAATCCTCAGATAAATGAACATCTTGCATTGTGTTGATTAAGGCTATTATCCAACAAATCTCGAAGTAGAAGAAAAAGCAGTAGTGGGATAAAAAGAGACCTGTACAATTTTCCGTTCCAAATTGTGATCGTTCTCTATTCACACAGGACGGGTTCCTCATTCCACGCATAAATAAAACGTTTCGCATCGATCCGACAGATTATTCACAGGGGGCGTGGGGCACACAAACAAATCACACTGACCTGCTCAGGTGTATGTCTGGCCCGCCCATTACCTCCGTCAGCAGCTCTCTCATTGGCCTCGAGAAGAGTAGGCCACAGCGCTGCGCTTCACTTCTGATCAATGGCGCGTTCCTCTGCTCAGACGTTGGTGACGCCTACCAGATCTTACAACGTCTGGATAGGTATTTTACCTATCAGCTAACCAGTGGTTGATGCGTCCAACGTCTGAGTAGGGGGAAATGTTACAGCAATCTGGGCTGCTTTCGGTACGTTTCTACGTTCTGGAACGGAAACTGTGCTGTGCTGTACTGTACTCACACCCGTCGCTTTGGGCGGGCCATAGGGGGCCGGGCCCGCCCCCAAAAATGCTTTAATAATTTAATGTATTATTAAATATACGTACTGTAGGCTAATAATAATTGTGCCCTGCCCTCCCATGCATTTCATATGCCCCCCTTAAGACTGAGGTCTGGCGACGGGTCTGACTGTACTGTACTGTACTGTACTGTACTGTACTGTACTGTACTGAAGGACCAGTTGAAAAAACAGGGAGGGGTTCGGGGAACGCTGTCAGCATGGCCACCACCCTTTAAATACGTCACTGATTGCGTCAAGCCACACCTCGCCACACCCACCAAATGGGAGCAAACGTACTGTTCAAGAATTTACAAGAAAGTTTTGGGGAAACGTATCGTTCAGTGCAAACGTAGAGATTTACCCAATTTAGCAGACGCTCTTATCCAGAGCGATTTACAGTTAGTGAGTGCATACATTATATTTTTTTTATACTGCCCCCCCTGGGAATCGAACCCACAACCCTGGCATTGCAAACGCCATGCTCTACCAACATCCCTGCCGGCCATTCCCTCCCCTACTCTGGACGACGCTGGGCCAATTGTGCGCCGCCCCATGGGTCTCCTGGTCGCGGCCGGCTACGACAGAGCCTGGATTCGAACCAGGATCTCTAGTGGCACAGCTAGCACTGCAATGCAGTGACCACTGCGCCACTCAGGAGATAGCCTTAGACCACTGCGCCACCCAATACTTTGCAAGAAACGGCTTCTTTATCAAATTAGCTATATTTACAATATTTGAGGTTGTTTATCTAATTTAATCATATTGATCTACTTTAAATGTACTGTATATTAGTATATTACTATGTATACATGAATAGTGTGTAAGAAGTGTTTTTGTTGTCTCTTGGTGTCTTGACAATATATGACTCGTATCTTATTTTTTTTTTAAATGTAATATTATCTTATTTTGTTATTGTCTATTCTGTCATGTATTTTATGTTTGATGTGGATGCTTTATGTTTGATGCTTTACCAGGTCATGTGATTACTGATTGTTGTTACATCACAATAGTAATATCCATGGCAATTATCAGAATGATACCAGTGTATTCATGTTGTCTGTTATCAACACTAGCCTGTCTACACAAAGCCCAATTAAAGATTGTAATGGTCAAATAAAATGTGGATTTCATTGGGACAAAAAATTAAGAAGATAGCCTACTTTAGAAATCCGTGTGACATTTCATGTTAGTGAGACTGACAGTTTCTGTAATTCAATACATGACCTCACCATTTGAACAATTTCCCCACACTGGCATGTTGCAATGACATGTTTTCTCTGTCAACAAAGGTGTTCTATTCACACACAGCTGCGCTTACTATTCTCATGAGTTTAGAAATCATCAATTATATGGTCATTTCAAGTGGAATGACCTGAAAAACAAACGGGCATATTAAAGTAGTTCAAAGACATGAACAGCCCCACTTGACTTTCTAAAATATTCTCAAACTGCTTTTAAAATCATTAATTTAGCTGGCTTCGTCCCAAAATGTGTTCTGCTCCAGATGAAGACGTTTAGAAAATCATTTCTGACAATAACCTTTTTGTTTTTGGCTATTAAGTATATTCAGGGATGCCAACCCAACTGTTATTCTGGTCTGCAAACTCTGCCAATAACGCCCTTCATAAATAAGCCTACTGTTGCTAAATCACAAACATTCAAAAATATTGCAGGCCTCCATTTCCCATTAAGTAGCGTAGCCTACAGTAATATGATGATATTGAAGTATTAGCCTATACATTTACCGTTTCGGCATGAATCCTCAGATAAATGAACATCTTGCATTGTGTTGATTAAGGCTATTATCCAACAAATCTCGAAGTAGAAGAAAAAGCAGTAGTGGGATAAAAAGAGACCTGTACAATTATCCGTTCCAAATTGTGATCGTTCTCTATTCACACAGGACGGGTTCCTCATTCCACGCATAAATAAAACGTTTCGCATCGATCCGACAGATTATTCACAGGGGGCGTGGGGCACACAAACAAATCACACTGACCTGCTCAGGTGTATGTCTGGCCCGCCCATTACCTCCGTCAGCAGCTCTCTCATTGGCCTCGAGAAGAGTAGGCCACAGCGCTGCGCTTCACTTCTGATCAATGGCGCGTTCCTCTGCTCAGACGTTGGTGACGCCTACCAGATCTTACAACGTCTGGATAGGTATTTTACCTATCAGCTAACCAGTGGTTGATGCGTCCAACGTCTGAGTAGGGGGAAATGTTACAGCAATCTGGGCTGCTTTCGGTACGTTTCTACGTTCTGGAACGGAAACTGTGCTGTGCTGTACTGTACTCACACCCGTCGCTTTGGGCGGGCCATAGGGGGCCGGGCCCGCCCCCAAAAATGCTTTAATAATTTAATGTATTATTAAATATACGTACTGTAGGCTAATAATAATTGTGCCCTGCCCTCCCATGCATTTCATATGCCCCCCTTAAGACTGAGGTCTGGCGACGGGTCTGACTGTACTGTACTGTACTGTACTGTACTGTACTGTACTGTACTGAAGGACCAGTTGAAAAAACAGGGAGGGGTTCGGGGAACGCTGTCAGCATGGCCACCACCCTTTAAATACGTCACTGATTGCGTCAAGCCACACCTCGCCACACCCACCAAATGGGAGCAAACGTACTGTTCAAGAATTTACAAGAAAGTTTTGGGGAAACGTATCGTTCAGTGCAAACCATTCCGCAACGTAGCAAACGTTCAAGCGAACTTGAACGCACCTCTGGTGACGTGGCACATAACCATTGGTAATGCGGGAGATTTACCCAATACTTTGCAAGAAACGGCTTCTTTATCAAATTAGCTATATTTACAATATTTTAGGTTGTTTATCTAATTTAATCATATTGATCTAATTTAAATGTACTGTATATTAGTATATTACTATGTATACATGAATAGTGTGTAAGAAGTATTTTTGTTGTCTCTTGGTGTCTTGACAATCTATGACTCGTATCTTTTTTTTTTTTATGTAATATTATCTTATTTTGTTATTGTCTATTCTGTCATGTATTTTATGTTTGATGTGGACCCCAGGAAGAGTACCTGCTGCATGTGCGACATCTAATGGCCATCCTATAAACTAACCTTTACCTAACTAAAACCTCTCGATTCATTCCATTCATTTTTGATGTGATCATCATCTATGTCTCGCAAGACAGGGACGTCTCCGTAAATCAAAGGGAAGAGTGACCCCCAGTGTCCACTTTAAGAAGCGCAGCCCTGTAGGACCTCATCACACAATGCAATGTATGGAAGAAAAACATTATATTATCCTCCTAAGACCCAACAATTCATTTTTGCCCACTCTAAAGGACATTCGTTTTTGGTCCGTACCTTTGAGAGGGCATTCTGGGCTTTTCAATGATATCACATGTATGGGTGTGTGACGTTGATAACGTTCTCTTCCTGGTTTTTCAAATATGGCTGCCATCTCAATTAGCACATTATATGTGAGGGAGAAAGGTAAATGTGTGTAATTATGTAATTATAATTTTTGTGAGTTTGATATTCAAAATTGTTTCTAGAAAGTAAATAACTCAGGAATAGTTTGGTTTACAATATGATATTTGTTCACATTAAATAAGACTTAAATAACAGCTTGTTTGTAATTGTCCCTTATAGTGGACATCAGGATGCTGTACCAATTTGAGGCACATTCTTTTCATGCCACTTCGATTGAGCTACGACTTGAAGTGATTTTCGTAGCAGGTTAGAAGATCATTTTTGCTAACCCTAAACCTTTTCATTTTACATTTTAGTTATTTAGCAGACACTCTTATCCAGAGGGACTTACCGTTAGTGCATTCATCTTAAGACAGTTAAGTGGGACACCTACATATCACAGTCATAGTAAGTACAATTTTCCTCTATAAAGTAGCTATCAGCAAAGTCAGCACTAGTATGGGGGGTGCGAGTGTTAGTTTACGAAAGGCACGTTTTGGGGGGAAGGGTGCTGTGGGATTATTTAAGATACTCTTTGAAGAGGTAGGGTTTCAGATATATTTGGAAGATGGGCAGGGACTCTGCTTTCCTAGCTTTAGGGGGAGTCTGGTTCCACCACTGGGGTGCCAGGACAGAGAAGAGCTTGGACTGGGCTGAGCGGCAGCTTCCCTCCCGTAGGGGTGGGAGGGCCAAAAGACCAGAGGTGGCAGAATGGAGTCCTCGAGTTGGGGTGTAGGGTTTCAGCATAGCCTGAAGGTAGGGAGGTGCTTGCTGCTCCGTAGGCAAGTATCAAGGTCTAGTAGTGGATGCTAGCTTCGACTGGAAGACAGTGGAGAGTGCAGAGGAACGGGGTTACCTAATTCTCCTAATTCTCCTAATCTGCTGTGTAAATTCTCCAAACCTGCTACAAAAAGTTACTTCCGGTCGTAGCTCTATCGAAGTGGCGTGAAAATAGTGTTTCTCGTACCCATTTATGTCTGCATTAAAATATACATTTACAATAGGCCTATAATTTGGTTTGCACCCAGGATTTTTTGGAAAATCAGAACCACAAATTGCACAGAAGTCATAGTAGCCTACTCCGAATATAAAGCCCCATTTACAAAAGGAAAACTCAGTCCTTGCTCATGTCATAGAACTTTATTTTCTAGGAAAAATAAAACATGTCTAAAGCCATTTCTTGTTTGCACTTGAAGCAGATCTCTAAGATGGGGATGCTGCCTCTGAGCAGTGGAGCTTGGCAGAGGGAAGAGCAGGCGAAGCGCTGTGACAGGCCTCAGTTGCAGTAGTTCTGCAGGTCGAAGATGTTGCAGGGCTTGTGACAGCACTGCTCTACAATACCTCTCTTTACCATCATGTCCATCTGGTCTTTGAAGGGGTACTCGGCAACCTCGTTCTCCTGGGCCGATTTTGGAGAGCGAAACCCTGCAAGAGGAGAAAAATTATATTGAGTGAGTGCTGCGTCATAACATCAAGGAAAGGAGCTTGTGTGTCTTAGATCAAGTTGAGTTGTCGAGCGGATATGAAGTCTTTGAATTCAGACAGTGCTAGAGGTGTCTTACCTGTTAGGAGATCCACATCTCTCTTTGGATTGTAAAAGAATCCTTTCTCTCCACACACCAGATAGAGGGCGTCCACCAGGTGAGAGCCACACAGGTGCTGGGCAGCTGCAGCCTCTGCCCCGGGGGAGAGGGCCAGCAGCACCAGCAGAGACGCAGCTTGTAGCCAGAGGGCCATGTTGATAATGGGCTGGAGGAGGGAAAGACAATGAAACAGGTATGTTAACACTTCTTACGCTGTGGGAAACATCTCTATTCTCCTTCTGTGTAATGCCGACGGCACGACCCATATCCTGTGGTAATATTGTCATTCAGCATGTTCTAAAAGAAACCATAGCCTTAGATCAACAAATCGACCGTTATTTCCATAAGCACTCATACGGGAATAGCTCACTAGATGGAGTAAAATACAGTTATTACTGACAGAAATACATTTGTTCAACAAAAACAGTAAGAGTTCCGAGGTGTTTTCAGATTGTAGTTGCATCTACATCCCCAAGATCTGCCACCCTAACCCAACTGTCGTTCCCAACCCTCCAGTGAAACACAGAGATCCCCGGCTCTTACCTGTGGTGGTGAAGAAGCTCTGGAGAAGAGTAGCAGAAATGCTGAAGGAAGAGTTGGTTGAGGCAGAACACCAGATCCTCCCCCCTTTTATACCCCTGGAGCAGACAGGCCTCGGAACAAGGGCCTGTGGTCTTTGCCAGTGTCAGCGGAAAAGAGAAGTCGCTCAATAAAATCAAATGGTAAGTGGCAATCCAATTGTTCGCCTCGTTAGGCATGTTTGTCTTACTAAGTGACATTAGTGGTCCGAGCGGAGGACCGGTGAATCGGACGTAACTGATGTGACCTGTGTCTGAGATGTACAGAGAACAGGTGGGCCTGTGTATGACCCACCTGTTCCTGCTTCAGCCACACAGTATAACAGTATAGTAGGCGCCCCCCCCCCCCCCCCCCCCCACAGTTTTATAATTGGAATGTGATACAAAATGAGGCAACGGTGTGCTTTAGGATCATGCGGACGCCTCCGAGTGTCGGGTAGGCTGTTTGGAGTGTTTATCAGACTGGATTATAAACAACAACAACAAATAATGCCCCCCCCCCCCCCCCCCCCCCCCCCCCCCCCCCCCCCACACTTCTAAAACCAAAGTTGCGCCCCTGATAGTAGGTGTTTGTTTGAAGAAGGTAGCGAGTGAGGGACAGCTGGTGGCTCAATGAGTGTCCTGAGCAACAGTTTTTTGGTGTTGAAGGTACTTACCGTGTCCTGTTGTGATGTTAGTGGGATGTTTCATGTTGACACATTAGCCATTAGCCGACCTTAGATGGAAATAGTAATTTTTTTGTGACAACTTCTTCCATGATGCACTCCTGTGTTGTGATGGTCATGGCAATGTTATAGAAATGCTCTTGGATCAGTCAGTGTGACGTGATATTAACGTTCCATAACTACATTTTGTTAGTATTAATGAGGCAACAGCAATAATGACACCACAACCTCCAGTATTCTGATGAAAAGGTGTTTGTGCAGTGCATAATAATTTATTCTGTATTCTCCGGTCTCCTGTATTTTCCTATAGAAAACTCTAGATTGCACAATGTTATCCCCAAATGTGACAGTCTTATTCTAACAGACCTAAAACTACTGCAAGTGTGCGTGCTGCATGTACTGCATCCGGATCCCCTCCAGAAGTACTGCTGCATGTACTGCATCCGGATCCCCTCCAGAAGTACTGCTGCATGTACTGCATCCGGATCCCCTCCAGAAGTACTGCTGCATGTACTGAATCCGGATCCCCTCCAGAAGTACTGCTGCATGTACTGTATCCGGATCCCCTCCAGAAGTACTGCTGCATGTGCTGCATCCGGATCCCCTCCAGAAGTACTGCTGCATGTACTGCATCCGGATCCCCTCCAGAAATACTGCTGCATGTGCTGCATCCGGATCCCCTCCAGAAGTACTGCTGCATGTACTGCATCCGGATCCCCTCCAGAAATACTGCTGCATGTGCTGCATCCGGATCCCCTCCAGAAGTACTCCTGCATGTACTGCATCCGGATCCCCTCCAGAAGTACTGCTGCATGTGCTGCATCCGGATCCCCTCCAGAAGTACTGCTGCATGTACTGAATCCGGATCCCCTCCAGAAGTACTGCTGCATGTACTGTATCCGGATCCCCTCCAGAAGTACTGCTGCATGTGCTGCATCCGGATCCCCTCCAGAAGTACTGCTGCATGTACTGCATCCGGATCCCCTCCAGAAATACTGCTGCATGTGCTGCATCCGGATCCCCTCCAGAAGTACTGCTGCATGTACTGCATCCGGATCCCCTCCAGAAATACTGCTGCATGTGCTGCATCCGGATCCCCTCCAGAAGTACTCCTGCATGTACTGCATCCGGATCCCCTCCAGAAGTACTGCTGCATGTACTGTATCCGGATCCCCTCCAGAAGTACTGCTGCATGTACTGTATCCGGATCCCTTCCAGAAGTACTGCTGCATGTACTGCATCCAGATCCCCTCCAGAAGTACTGCTGCATGTGCTGCATCCGGATCCCCTTTCTGTAATACTGCTGCATTCGGATCCTTCCAGCAGTACAGATAAGTACCAGTAGGTGTTACACTTGTCTCACATAACACAACCTTTGACTTCACACCCTCTCATCTCTTAGACTTAGGAAATGTCCTCTTTGAGCCTGACATGCCAGGATTATGGGCTCTCCTTTACGCCTCTCTCTAGTCTGCTGTCAGTAGCTACAAATGATGCATAAAGGTGCTATGGATTTTTTTTGTTTGCTTTTCTAAAGACATTGTCGAAAGCTCAAGGAGTAGAGTCTCAGTTGAGTTCTCAAAACTGACATCTTTTCAAACCATCATAGTAAGGTTTGTGCTCACTTATTTCCGGACAGACACCAATAAAGCCGATTAGGTTGTCCCTTTCAGCTTTCCAAAGGGCTCAGACTTTACCGAAGCCGTTAAGCCTGACTGATGGACGTTCTGAAATGAGTTCAGGGGAGGGAGAACAAAAAGTCGACTTTTGCTATAAGTTTCAAAAGCAGTGTCTGAAATACCAATTGGCATGATTAATATAGTTTGCTCTTTAAAGTGCTGGCAGTCTTATGGACATAATGAACAGCATACCGGAAAGAGGACAGAACCATAAATATCCTTCTGCAAGAAAGATGTGCTTGATAATCACCGGGTTGATTAAGTACGGAGGCTCATCTTTAATGTTTATTTTTGTCTTGAAAGGTCAAACTGAGCCATGTCTGTAATTTAGCACCACTCCTGTGATGTGTGGCTGATTTAGTGTGTGGTAATGACATGTACAATTTAAAGAGAAGAGTGGAGATCAATTGGGAGTATCCCTATTATACTGTAATGAAACAGGCAAGGAGTGCAGCTCAAACCCTCAGTCTTCTGGCCCTGCCTATGGAACGCCGTTTGGGTCTTTGCATGTCAGAAAATATACACTATTTCACCCATCAAATAAGCTTGTTGACCAATCAGGACTTGAATATGACTGCACGTCACATAATAATTTAACAAAGTTCATACATTTTTTTACATAGTTATTGCACATTGTTTTACAATATCACACATATTTCACAGCGGTTCACCGATACGTATGCAATGATGCTGGTAAGTTCTTATTTGATTAATAATGGTCGGGCCCACCTATGTGAAGCTAGCCACAAAAAGGATTAGCCACGATAGTGGAATTTGCGGTTCGCCTTCAAAATAAAAGTATCGCATTGAAAGTGATACAAATTAATACAATTAGTGGAATCATGCCATAATAGAATAGGTCATGCTAAACGACGTTGGAATGTTGTTATATAAGCTCATTGATCCCCAATCCTTAGATAAGGCTGTACAGTGCAATATGAATGTCAATAAACACAATAAGCTGACTGGGGAGGTGATTTCCCACAGTCAAAGTCCAGCAATAAGAGCTACGACGCTAATATTTGCGTAGATTCTTCACAGTTGTGTTCTGTGGGTGTCACAGAGTAGACTGATACTCCATTTCATTGCTCCACATCCCAACACTCCAAAGTTGTTTAACATTATTTAGACTAAATATGGCATGATTCCACCAATTTTAACCATTTGCATCACTTTCAAATAGGAACTTCTATTTTGAAGGCAAACCGCAAATTCCACTATTGTGGCTAATCATTATTGTGGCTAGCTTCACAACACATAACCGGGTCTGGTCAAGTCTCACTAGCCAGATGAAGCTGGCTGGCTGCTTAACGTTAGCTTTGGGCAAAATAGTTAAGTAGCTGGCTAGCTAGTTCTTTTCATGAACAGAAGTTCTATTTCAATAGGAGAACAACAAGTGGCTACCTAGCTAATACTTACTCACATGGATTTCTTAATCATTGTTAAGAATATTGAAAATGACTGCAGTTTCTACTGGTCATTGTTTTCAGGCTGGTTGCCATTGGTGCTAGCTAGGTACCCCAGAAGTTGCTAATAACATCTGTATCAAAGATATTTGCAAACATTTTTGATCATGCTCGTTTGATCCTGATCTTACAGACGTTTTCCCATTAGATCGAACAAATAATGCCTTATTACCAACGCAGTATTGTAAGCACATTGTGGCACGTGTGTGCTTGTTTGCTTATTTGACGGGTATCTTTTTTGACGCCCAAAGACCCAAATGGCGTTCCATACCTGCCCGCCATCGACTGTAGTAGTCGATATCCACGCTTATAAACCTGTCTCAACAATACAGTAAGTGTACATTTTTCTAAGAACAATTAAAATATATATATACTCTTGTACAAAAGACTGTGAAGTATTTGTAGTTCCTCATATCAGAGCTGTAGCTCCGCCACCGGTGAAGTGGAGCAGAGCATGCTGGGCGATCTCGAGCTCAGAGAAGAAGTTCAGCTCGAGAGTCAAGTGAGAGAAAGTTCCAGCCATCCTTGTGTTTCCCCGCCAGTTAGCTTTCATTGTGTTAGCCATGGCCAGTGTGCGTCGTTGTTGATATGAAAGTACATATTTCATATCTTTCAGGTGTTTACGTCACACACATTTCTTAGGTGGCAAAGGTCGGGATGGATAATGTAATTTATCGGCGTAGTAACAAACCCCTAAATCGCAACCCATGCAACCTCAAACTGTTCACACCCCTTTTGTTTCTAGAGAGAACATCTGCCATTTTAAAGCTCATTTCCCGCAATTCTACACATTTTGTATTGGGCAGAGATTTTATTTGCTGTTTTAAAGCTAATTTCTTGCTATTCTATGCATTCTTCCATGTCTTATGTGTGTTTATATGATACCAGGGGGTCGAAGCCCGACCAGTCCGCGGTCCCCCAGTTGAGCATGTAGGGAATAGGATAATGCCCCCCAGTGCGTCGTTTATATGCCCTGTAGTTGAATAGGTGTATGGTACATCATTATATGGCTATTACATTGTATTTCACTGTTTAGAGGTATTCGTTGTGCAGTTGTAGCCCTGTACTGAAGATGGTGGTGCTTTGCTCATGCGGCTGCACCCCTTTGATCTCAAGTTAGTGACAGTCACAGTCACGTTGTATTGTGCTGTGTGGTCCTGTAAAGCATTAAGTCATCATAGTCATGTTATAGCCATGCATATTGATTATAAGAGATGTGATTTGGAGATTGTATTCTGTCATTCACTTTTCTATCTTTATTTCTCTCTTTACTTGCAGACCACACACACACACACACGCGCACACACACACACACACACACACACACACACACACACACACACACATGCACACGCACACATACGCACACT